TCTCGCTACCTGATTTCACTGCATCAGCAGACTACGAGAGAGCGGGCTTGGTGACATTTGGATCCAGACTCGACATTGGGCTTCAGACATTTGACGAGGGATTATCTGAGACTTGTAACGAAGACTTGGTGTTGACGACATTCCCATCTTCCCCCTTCTTCCTCGTCTGATCCCATCCTCTTCGTCTGTGAATGGTCTGGACCTGGTGCATTCTTCCTGTGTGTAGCGCCAGGCCCCTTCACACCTTGTGATGAGGATGATGTATGTTTGGTCTGTATTGCGACATTGATTGGGCTAGTCATTGGTATTCTAGCATTCTGCTGCGCTGTCTTGCACTACGTGAGAGAGGTTAGTCCCGGTCAGGTCAGGGCTTATATCTAAGTCTTCCACTGAATCCACTGTGCTACAACGCACCATTTTGTATGTAGCAGGATGTACATTGCTTGTTGAGATTCCACTAGCACTGCATTGTCCATTCAGTCCTTTTCATCACATTGTTTCCTTTGTCTTATGCAACTCAGGTCCTAGAGGGAGCCCATCAGGCCCTACCTCGGGTCCCCTCTGTCCTCGCAGGATGCCTCCTTCGACCATGAAACCATACTAAGTAGTAAAATGCCACCTGCCAGGGGGAGTTCTCAGAACGAATATCACACTGCACTACGATAGCAGTCAGATTGCTCGATGTGTGAAATCCAGATGAACATAAAGATGTTACCACACATGCTTAATGTTGTTGGATTCAATCAGTTTGCAACTTTGCACTGACTAATTAATTGTATCCTCCTTGAATTTCAGAACCACGGCTGGGCAGCTGTTACATACTTCAATGAGTATGGGCAGAACCAAAGATCAACCAATATAGGATGAGCATTTATGCAGCGGAAGTCTGATAACGAACTGACTCACATAGACTGACTCACATAGACTGACTCACATAGACTGACTCACATAGCATCACTCCACACACATACAATCGTGAGATGGTGGGGTCTGAGCCATACAAAGAAGGTGCTCAGCCCCGTACACAACATACACAGATGAATGGGGGAGGAGAGACGAAGGAGGTGGGGTAGGTAGACAGCACTGAAAGTCACCGAGATAGAATCTGATAGGTCACCGATATGGTAGTCCAAAATGTCATCCAACAAGTCGAGGACGATAGGTCACCAATGTCGGAGGTACAGAGTCCAAACGTAACCGGTGCCCGAACTGTGATGCAGCCGAGTATCAGCCCCAACAATCTCCAAGTCTCCAATCAGGTAAGTACCACAGTCTCATATCACCGAAGTCCAACTCTGATCTCTGTCCAACTGGATAGTCTCCAATCTGAAGAAGAAGAAGAAGAAGAAGAAGAAGATGAAGAAGAAGAAG